GAATGAAAGAAATTGTGGCCCCTAGTAGGGACCTGAGGCACCATTTAGGTAGGTTTGGGCACATAGTGAAGGGGTGGAGCTCCTACTTGGTTGGTGAAACTCTTTTCTAGGGCTGAGGAGGCACCATCCTGACTCAGCACCCTGTGACCCTGAATATCCAGATCACATCCCAGCCCTCTGGCGCCTGATTTGGGTGAGAAAGGGAGCTCAAGCACTCCCCCCAACCAAAGGAGCTCCAGGGGCCAAGGAGTGATCAGGCTTATTTATTTGTTAGGGCAGTGCACTCAAAGTATGGGCTAGGATTGGTGTTAGTGTGTGAACTGTTACCTGTTACCTAAGTACAGAAATGAAAGTGTTTAGAAATTTTTACAGCATTTTGATGTAATAATTTTAGATATGCTGAATCTAATGATAAGAAATTTGGGCTCCTAATTTGTATATATATTTTTTTCTGTTTCATTTTTCTAAGAGGATAGGTGCGAATGTCACAAATGCAGAGTGTCCTTAATGAACTAAAGCTCTGCCTCTTGGCCCAGCAACTAACTGTCTTCCTCTGCTTGCTTGTGGGCTTCTCTCCTTGGGGAAAAGAGGTATCTGAGACTTGAGTCACTTGGGAAAAGCCCACTTAGTTTGCCTCCTACTTTCCCCAGTCAAGAATCTAATGTCTGGGGTGCCTGGGTGGCTTAGTCGGTTAAGCGTCCAGCTTCAGCTCAGGTCATGATCTCATGGTTCGTGAATTCAAGCCCCACACTGGCTCTGTGCCAACAGTTCAGACCCTGGAACCTGCTTTGGGTTCTGTGTCTTCCTCTCTCTCTGCCACTGTCCTGCTTGCTCTCTCTCTCTCTCCCTCTCAAAAATAAATAAGCATTTTAAAAAAATTAAAAAAAAAAAAGAATCTAATGTTTAACGTTACCTTCTTAAGACAGCAGCATTGATTTCCATGCCACTCACTGTTGGGTCAGAGCACCATTAGCCCTGAGGTAGTCCCCGCCATGTTCCTTGAAAGAGTTTTAGGAATGACTCCACATTCACCTCCTGTGTGTGAGCACCTGGGTCTTATTATTCTGTATCCCCTACAGGAAACAGAGGAGAAGGTAGTGAGCTTTTTGTGTGCAAACATTGTGTATGCTTCCGCTCAGATTCTCCAAAGCTCACATAATTTCTCCAATGGGAATTTAGGATGTTAAGAAAGGACTTTACTCCCAGGTCTTAGGAGCCTTCTGCTTTGGCCACTAATTTGTGGTATAACCTTGGGTAAACTATTTATTACCACGCAGACTCAGTTTTTTCATCGTAAAATGAGGGAATGCAGAAAATGTTGAACAATGAATGACCTCTATAGACTTCCCCAGCTTTCTACATGTTGTAATCCTACTTTTAAGGTTTACAAAATTTATTAGTCCCCAAGGTAATTATAGGCCAGAAATGGGGAAGTCTTGTCTTCCCTAGCTCTTCATATGGATTCATCTTATTTATCTTTGAATCCTTCAGTTGGCCATCAGGACAGATCTGTAAGACAGATACCTAGAGAACAACCAATGCTTTCTTCAGAGTGCTTTGGGTCTATGTCTACGTAAGATCCCTGTGCTGGACTGATGGAAGTCCCTCATGTGGACAGAGAGATGAGCCAGAGATAGACACTCCACACTGGAGTCTGCCAATCATTTACAGTCATTGTGCATCCATTTCCTTAACCCCAACTCTATTGTCTCATTGTTTGCTTGACTGTTTAAGTAGGCTCCCATCAAAGGTTGAGAGTCCCATGCTCTACCAACTAAGCCAGCCATCCTATCTCATTAGTTGTTTTGTTTGTTTGTTTAAAGTTTATTTTGAGAGAGAGAGACTGTGAGAGAGCTGGGGAGGAACAGAGAGAGAGGGAGAGAGAGAATCCCAAGCAGGCTCTGCCACTGTCAGCACAGAGCCTGATGTGGGGCTCAGACTCACGAACCCTGAGATCATGACCTGAGCTGAAACCAAGAGCTGGCTGCTTAACCGACTGAGTTGCCCAGGTGCCCCTTTATCTCATTAGTTTTCTTTCTTTTTTTCTTTTTTAATGTTTATTTATTTTTGAGAGAGAGAGAGAGAGAGAGAGAGAGAACAGGGGAGGGACAGATAGAGAGGGAGACACAGAATCTGAAGCAGGCTCCAGGCTCTGAGCTGTCAGCACAGAGACTGACACAGGGCTTGAACTCATGGACTACAAGATCATGACCTGAGCCCAAGTTGGATACTTAACTGACTAAGCCACTCAGGTGTCCCTCTCTCATTAGTTTTTAAGTGATGATCCAACTCTTGGTTTTTCTTTTCCAGGAAGGGAAATCTGGATCTGAAGTCCACAGGAGATGATGACAGGGAGGTAGAGTGGGCCTGTCACAAGACAAGAGTGTCTCTGAACCAATGGCATGCTGGTAAGTAGGTGCTTAACAACCAGCTGTGGTGTGACAGGAGCCATGATTGGTAGTGTTTGTTGATTTCCATGGTGTAAATACTCCCACCATGGCCTATTTCAAACTACCATCATGGACTTAGGAAGAAATGAACAGTATCACATCATTATATAGTATTCTATCATACAGGTGTAATAGACATATAAATAACCTTAAGAGTATAGATAATAGTAAAATGTCAGAAAATAATTAGGAAAAGATTAATTTTGAGTACTTGTCATCTTTGTTTTGAATATAATTTGTTCATGTAATTTAATTTTTTAAGATTTTATTTTATTAAAAAAATTTATTTTAATGTTTATTTATTGAGAGAGAGAGAGACAGAGGGTGAGTGGGGAAGGGACAGAGAGAGAGAGAGGAAGACACAGAATCTGGAGCAGGTTCCAGGCTCTGAGCTGTCAGCACAGAGCCCGACGTGGGGCTCAAACTCATAACCTGCAAGATCATGACCTGAGCCAAAGTTGGATACTTAACCAAATGAGCCACTCAGGCACCTTTTAAGATTTTATTTTGAAGTAATCTCTACACCCATCCTGGGACTTGAGCTCACAACCCCTAGATCAAGAGTTGCATGCTCTACTCTTGATAAAATCTACTCAATTTTTAATAATCACTGTGTTTAGCAACCAGTTTGCAAAATTACTGAGGATTTACCAGTCAGCTTTCTGAGCTGGGACAAACTGTGCTCCCAGCACACTACTGGAGACTGTGTTCTCCCTCTA